GGCAGGGTATGTTGCGAAATATAACTCGTATGAAATGCTGAGATATTTGCAAAACTCCGGACCACAGGTGTATGCAATGGAGAACGAACACGCGCTGTTGTCCTTACCGGGGAGCAGCGCACTTCACCACTACACCATGACCCGGAAAAAAGGGCCTGTAGCCCGGCGTCAGCTTTGTGAAGTACTGCACAGTTTTCTCAGAAACTGCCACGACTCATCGCATTGAAGGTTTTCCCTCCTGTGCGAAAAAGTGGCGCACCCAAGTTCTCCATTACTCAGAAACTCATTACAGTAGTCTTAGATTTACAAAGTTTTTAACGGCACGTATCCGCTAGAAAACTGAGAAATATGTTCGTACTACTACTGACTTTAAAATCCTTATCAATCTGAGTGTTCTTTGGAACACTGCGACGATTTACGCCATATTCTTTTATCGTGTTTGAAACAGTACTTCGGTTAGACTGATCAGGGCTTTAGAATGCATGCGTAGAGTTCTCCAAGGAGATAGTCTTTGCCGCAAAGTGGATCTTCCTCTATGGCCATTCTTTATCACACAGAGTTTCACTAAGCGCTAATCGTCAACTACCACTTAAAGCCTCTCTTCAAATCGAGTAAGCGACTGAAGCTAGTCGTTACTACTGTGAAGACCAACAGGTCTAGAATGGAAGTGTTATATAGTGTTGCCTCAATACAGAAACAGCCTTTTCTGTCTAATACTAATTGTTTCTAACCTATTTCTGTCGCCATCTACCGTAGCACATTCAGTTATGTCTAATTCGTTTGTTAATTTTCCTAAACTCGAGTTGGAGATCAGCGTCGCAAGCCTACAGAAAGATTGTTGTAAAGAAGAACAGGCCACTTATCATCTTAGAATTTGCTAAGAACTTAAAAATCAGCTTGTATCGCTGCATTGCAATAGTGGATGACATCGGCTAGCTTCTGATAAGATACACAAAAATGGTCTTCTAAAAATTAGTGGAAAACCTTTTCTAAGGACGATCGTCGTTCTCACTAACTTAAAAAACCGACTTTCCATAAAACTCGGCACAAATAATAGATATATTGGTTTATGTGTTCTTATGAACTGCCCCTGTTGAGCTGGTGGGAGGTTGGTATAAGTCGTCGTCGTTGTTACTGTTGTTGTTGTTGTTTTTGTGGGTCAATATAAGAACATAAGAAAATAAAGTGTAAAGCTTTTGGCACTGATCAATCCCTGAGGGATGCGCCACGCAATCGCCTTCATTAAACATCGTTTGAAGGTGATTGAATGCATATCTGGTCTTTACAACGACTTTCTGTGGCGTACCGATGTATCGAGCCAGTGATGTTATCCTCCCAGACAAGCCTGGTACCAATTTGCCGATCCCGGAGGGATGGAAGGCTTGGTAGGCCATTGGTGCGAGGATCAATTCCAAGTGTGTATTGCAGGGCGCCTTCAACCACTGCGCCACACGAGCCCTAATATAAGAACATATAAATAAATATAGCTATCGACCAACAACAACAAGGACAACAACAACAACAACACCAGCAACAATTTATGCCAACCTCGTATCAGCTCAATAAGAGCAGTTCATAAGAACATATAAATAAATGTATCGGCTGCTGTTCTGTTACTTAGTTGTGCAATCGCTTATTACTGGTCGGCACATAAGCCTACGTTGAAGATGGAGTATTCTCGCTTACAGAGACGGAATATGGTTTATTAAGGTGTCATTTGAACGGCGTAGTACCCTGGGTTCCTTGAAACCAATTTTTAATAATCACAGAAATCCAGTCGCTAAGATTAAGCATAGGACACGTGTATCACAGTGGTCGGAGGTGCCCTGCGATACACACGGGATCGATCTCCGCGCTCCAGACCCATCAAGTCCTCCATCCCTCGGGGGTCGGCAGATTGGTAGCGGACTTGTCTGGGAGGATGGCAGCACTGGCTCGATACATTAGTAGGCCACTGCGAATCATTGTAGAGGCCAGATGTGCATTCAATCACCTCAAACGGTGCTTAATGAAGTTGAATGTATGGCGTATTCCTCAAGGATTGATCAACGCCGAGAGGTTTATTCTTTTTATCCTTTTATGATTATTCGTAACTGCTGCAAAGAAGTTGCGGATACAAAAAATGTAAAGAAAACACCAAAATCTACTCTTAGTATTCTATTGAGCTTTATGAAACGTTGAAAAGAACACAGTTGTATTCTAAGCATGAATTTTCAACAAGCACAAAAGTTGAATATGCTTCAGAAAGACATGGAAGAACGTAGAGAGAACAAGGAATAAGGCAAACGTGGAAGTTGCTTTGAAAACACATTGAAGAACAGCAGATATTGTAGTAAAACTGCTAAATTTAATTATTAGGGTAATGCCGTGGCCGGCATGTATCCTACTGGAGTCACAGCGTGCGAGGCGAGGAGAAATTGGGTGTTGTACTAGGCAGCCATTACGCTTCGTCATGAATGTATTAAATCCTACTTGACAGCTTATATTTCCCACCACTGATATTTCCTCCTAATCTATTATCTACAATGAAAACAGAATACTCCTAAAAAGAAGAATAGGGATGACTGTCTGGGAGGGACCTATAGAAGAGTGTGAGAATGACTGGATGATGTAAATGCCGATAGTTGTTCCATAGACGACAATGAAGACGAAAACGCAATCGATGAAAGCATGTTATAGTTCGGGAGCCAGCATCAATTAATTTGTATACTATCGAAAGTGGTCTTAAAGTACCTTACATTTCCAATACTGGATTGGTCCTTACTCTTCACACACAATATTGATTGGGGAACTTTGTTCAGATCTGACAAGAAAAAAAGCCAACATCTTCCTTAACTTCAAGTAACTGGCGAACGGTCGGAATGTGGACCTTTGAGTGCCTTTTTCTTGGACAGGTGGCAACCTACGTGACGACTTTTATCAGGAAGTAAACACGAAACCCAGCTAAGGCTAAAAACTAATCCCTGTCACCCCCATTACTGGTTCGCAACAGCTGACGACTTGAGAAACCCCAGAAGATTTTCCCTAATCAGAAAATTACCGATCACATGAAAACGAAGATTTGTTGCCCATTCGAGTGATTAGTTTTTTTCGGATAAAGGATTTCGGTACTCAAATATTTAGCGATAAGTGAGGCAGTATATAAGAATTGATATTAGCGGACTGTACTGATTTCAAAGCAATAAACGCTACTGCGCTGATGAGTGCAACAGTAGGACCTGCGATTAGTTTTGCCGAAATGGCATAAAGGATAGAAAGCTCTCAGAGTTGATCAATCTCTGAGGGATGCACCATGCATTCAACTCCATTCATGGCATCGTCGGAGGTGACTGAATGCAGGTCTGGCCCTTACAATAACTCGCCGTAGCCTACCGATGTATCGAACCAGTGCTGCGACCCTCCCAGACGAGTCTGGTACCAATTTGTCGACCCCAACATGATCGATGGCTTAGTGAGCCTGGGGCGCCAGATCGATCCCATGCGTATTGCAGGGCGCTACACGTGGAATGGCATAATTTATAAACATTTTTTTACGATGTTAACACAGAAAGGAGCCATGTGGGTGACGTCTGTCAACTTTTATTCGAATCATACAATTAGTAAAGAGATCTAAGGTGGCCATTTCATAAAAGTTGTGGACAGTGGAAACTTCAGCGACTTAAACCATCCTTAAAACCACTAGTACTAATTTGTCACAAAGGCCTTTAAATAAAGAAAAGCTGCTGCTACCCTGACGCCCACGCATAGGATGCCAAATTTGGCGCTGTTGATTACTAGAATCCAGCCATCGTTGTGCTATAAGGTGTCCCTTTTGAAGCTATCCCACCTTTGTAAACCTTTTAAACTCCTAAAATACTCATAAAAAACGATTCCGGCCTTAGTACAACTACAGTGCACTCTTCGAGATAGTGTACTCCCACAAGTACCCGCTAGGTACTTACAAGTTTGCATGACAACGCGCGACTAAAATGTAAGCTAGTGTATTGGTCCGTGTAAAGACAAAGTGCGTAATTCCTTTCGTAGGGAGGATTGTCACTTAAGTGCAGAACTGTACTTGTCAGAAGTACGTGCGCTTGTTGTTTTCAGTTATAGAGAACCCCGTACTATTTACTTTGTAAAATTAATATCCGGTGTTGTTTTGTAAACAAAAAAGGAATGATAGGTTTTGTTGTTTAATATTTAGGACGGTAGGTCATAGAATTACCTTAATGAGTACTCTTTAGGAGGTCCCTTCTTACTTTAACGGTGTTTCCAGGATCGACTTTCTCTTAACTTCGGCATTGGAATATGAATGTGTCGTTTTCTTGTTCAGCAATCGCGAGGTTTTTAAACAGCATACATTTACTTCCATAAAAACACAATACAATACAACGCTAGCTGACGTTTCGGCAGTATCGCCTTCTTCAGAGCCGTGACTTTCAATGAGGAAGTTTAGAACAGCTGATTATAGTCGCATGTGGTTGACGACTGCACCATCCCATATCGAAAATCGATGCGAATGTACGGGATCAGGTCGTGTATGACCTCCGGGCGTTCATCCCTGCTATTCATTGTAGGGCTTTTGGCATTGATCCAAAAGGCCTCAAGGAGTTTTCGCGCTGGTGTTTTGGACTCCTGTGCAAGGATATTGACTTTTACTTCAAAATCGTCTCCGCTATGCTTTTGTATCCTATGCGTGCCTAGTGGGGTCCTAGTAGATGTATGTATTTACCGGAGAGTTCTTCGTCTTTTTGTAAGTGTCATTGAAGCGTTTGGCCTAGTAGATTGTATATCAGCATACCCTTCCAGGCTCTGAAGAAGGCGATACTGCCGAAACGTCAGCTAGCGTTGTATTGTATTGTTTTTATGGAAGTAAATGTATGCTGCTTAAAAACCTCGCGATTGCTGAACAAGAAAACGACACATTAACGGTGTTTATTGGAATCCTTGGTATCTTAGGAATACTTAAGCCATAGAGCTTCAGAAATTTGTGCTAGGAAGTAACTGAACTGCGGAGCCGAATGGATGAAGTCGGAGTCATGGTGAAGAAGGAGCAAGACCGCTCGGACACACTGGTAATCTGAACTTTTTCTTTGCAATTTTATTGATTCCCGGCTATCCTCTTCTTTGTTTCTTCTCCTTCTATCTTTTTTACAAGATCTTCAGTAATTCCTCATTATTCTATTCTATCCTATTCCTTTATTCCTGAAACAGTTACTGGCACATGGTGGTAACTGCTTTCGAAATGAGTTCTGGGTAGGGAATCCAACAACTGGCAAGCAGTTCTGTCTTCAGGATCGAGAGTATCGTGCCTTGTGGACTCAACTCACGAAACGTCAGATGACGAACGCTGACGACTATACAACTGAACTATTTGAGAAACAAATTAAAAGTCAAAACGAGGAAAACTATGCCAGGTGTGAGCCTTAAATTCATATTTTAGTAAGTTTAGGTTTAGTAGTTTAAGGTAAGTTTTAAACTTCATAACGAAGTGATAAGTTCTAAGGAAGTCAATTAGGATCTGGTCTATTCAGAAAAGAGATAATCGTTGCAGTCATCAATTTTTTCATAGTGTCATCGTTTTCATCTGCCATCATTTTTCTCATTAAATTAATAAACTCAACTGTTCTTTTCAGATTCTCTTGTTTGGCAACAGCTCAAAATTCCATTAAGAACGTTTTGAAGAAAACATCAGCAATGTATGAAACTGGTGGGACTCATGCTTACCATTACTCGTCAGAAAAGATATTACTAAGTTGTCTAAGTCTTTTAGCGAATTATGGCGTTCACGTGTTATCGGAGACAGTAAATCATACTCAGGGTGAAATCACAGCATTTTATGACAGAGTTAAGACCACGAAACACAAACGAGAAGATGCTTTAGCTTCAGTGTTAAGAAAAGGTAAGTTACCAGAAGTTTTAAGGAACAAAGCGAACTTAAAATACAGTGAGATTCCGTTGTCCATTATATTTGAGCCTGCCAATAGTACTCTTACATTTATATGGTCTTCTTAGGGTTAGTAGTAGTATTATTGTTGTATTATCTATTGTATTTGCTTTAAAGTAACTTTGCAAAAGTCGATATTGGACGGGCTTGGTGAAAGCGTCTTGGTAACGAAACAGCACTTGGCGGCAATGGATAAGTTGTCGGCTCTATTGTCCAAATTAAAGGTATTTTGTTCATTTGCCTTATTTAGCTTTATCTTTCCTAGCAAAGTTTTGCTCAGATATTGCTCACTACAGTCTATTTAAGCTGTGACGTTAGAAAGTAGTCTTGATGGTGGAGTGTTATCGCCGTAACTTTCTCTTTCTTTCTTTTTTTCGTTTTTTCGTTCTTCCTTCCTTTCTTTGCTTCCTTATTTTTTTCTTTCTTTTTTCTCTGTTTGGTTATAGGGAAGTATGGCTGGGTAGGGTGCGGTAAATTTGAGCTCTCCAGGCTCCTGTTTGCTCAACAAGAATATAAAGACCTGTAACTTTAGTTTGCTATACCAGCCGGCTTTTGTAATTGTTAACAACTGTCTGATTGTTTTCTTTCTCAAGTTATTTATCCCAACAGGTTATTTCCAGATAGCTGAAGACGTTTCATTCACATCATTAAAGGAGAATTTCGAAGGAACGACCCTTCATATCAAAAATAGAGCTTCTACAGGAGGTTAGAGATGATGTTTTTTTAGTGATGTGTAGTACTTTAAAATCTGTTCAGAAATCCCAATTTTTGATTATTTTTCTGTAGACAAAGTGCGGGCAGCGTGCGGAGGCGCCCTGCAATGCACATGAGATCGATCCCCGCTCCCAGGCTCGCCAAGCCCTCCATCCCTCTGGTTCGGCAAATTGGTACCAGACTTGTCTGGGAGGATAGCAGCACTGGCTTGATACATCGGTAGGCCACCGCGAGTCATTGTAAAAGCCATATATGCATTCAATCACTTCCAACAGCGCTTAATAAAGTCAAATGCATAGCGCATTCCCCAGGGATTGATCAACGCCAAAAGCTTTATCCTCTTATTTTTCTTTCTGTATACATTTGTTTCCAAACGAAGTTACGAAATATTCCTATTATCTGTCTTATCTTTATTTTCCGCTCTTCGTAATTTATATTATGCCGCTTCGATATCGCTTTTGGGACTAGTTCATTTGTACTCTCCCATATTTAGATGACGTGCGGTGTTCAATTGGTGATTTTGAATTGCGAACTAAAGAAATGCGTCATGTTTTGCAAAAAGAGGTAGCGCTTTCACGTTATCAAGAGGTTAGTTTTTAATGATTCTAATCAATATCATACGTGTTTTCCAAGGTTCATAACAATTTTAAACTCTCTCGATTTGTAACCATGATGATGCTGAGATATTTGCGAAACTCCGGACCGCAGGTGTCGCGGTGTGGATCGAACACGCTATTACCCTTTCGGGGGCTGACGCGTCCATCACCACACCATGCGAGTCTTTCATTTCTCCTTTCTATCGGTGGTTTTCTCTCTTGAATTGTTTGCTTTGACAGTGCTAATTAGCTGTGTGTTTTCAAGGCAAGACTAGCTGAAAGTGACGACAAACTTGAAGAATTGAAGATTAAGAACACTGGAACTTCGAATAAAGTTATTGACGAACAAAATAACCTGAAGAAATCATCTGATTACTGGAGCTCTTCTGAAATGCAGTTATCAGCACTTACAGATGAGGTAAGGATTTCTCGATATGTTTGCGTATACACTTTCTTCTTATATTTCGCCCAGCATAAGATATCTTTTTAAACAAGATTTGGAAGGGAATGTTTTCGTTCATAATGTTTTCAGTGCAAAAGTGTTTCTGAGAAGCTGGCTAATTTATGTGACGAATTGAGCTCTGCGGAAGTGGAACTTACTTCGAGAACATCAGACTGCCAACGAGAATTCAGAACTAAAAAGGTATTATTGCTTTAGACGTCTTCAGTGACAATACTGACCTAGTTTAGCAACTTTCTGTATCACCGTTGTTAAGCGAAGAAAACTTTGCTGAAAGGTTTTGGAAGTTGTAAAATTAGTCTCCACGAATGGCAAGTGTTATTAAAATGCTTACGAACACGAAGACCAAAAGTGGTAAAGAGAGAAGAGATGCTCTTTGGACGGCAAGCTCGGTCTCATTCAGTTGTTCTTACTCATCCACCCGTTAATCTGCACTTTTTGACGATTCCCTACTTCTCGCTTATTTTAAGTTATTTCCTTTGGGCTTCCGAACGGTTTACCGCCACGTCGTGCCTGGGAGGTGTTCCTATGTGCCGAACTGCGACCTACAGCAGGGTGATTCATCCTCTCAGCAAGGCCTATCAAACAGAGGAGTCCAGCATTTCCATCAAGACGTCCAGCTAAGAGTAAGCCAATATCAAGATTCTAAACCGTTCTGATATCAAAGTGGTAGCATGGTGGCAAATCTCCCTCTGATCCACGAAGGCGGCGGTTGCCTGTGGTGACAACGACCTGGGGCAGACTGTGGCCAGGCTGACCTCAGTACTCGAGGTAGCTACAATGGCTAAACCAGCAAAACTCGGATGAAGTGGGGATTACGCTGGGGCTTGGACAACCAGTGAGGACGGATTGTCCAAGTTTCCAGGTAAGTAAGTAATTCTCAAGTTGATAACTTGTGTTTAAGATTGTTCTAGTAGACAGAAGATAAGTTCCAGAACTATCCGTTCACCCCATCATTATTTCATTTTAACATGCCGTTTTATCAAGTATTGTATATGCTACTGTTTTAGAAAGACATGTCTGACAAGCTTTTTGAACTGGAACGACAAGGTGCTCACGGACAGGAACAATCTTCTTGTTTGAACGGCCAGCTAGAATCTTTTAGAGGGCGATATGGAAATACTGTTGACATAAAAAATTGGGATGGAATCCGTGAGGAAAAAAATATTCGAGGTACTCTTTAAATTGAATTATCTTCTTACCCTGAATGTTCCTAGAAATAAACTCATGGTCGTTAACCTGCTTTTCATATTTGTTTTAGTTCATTTTTTCCCATTGTATCAAGAAGAATGGACGAATGGTTGTCGATCTACCTCTGGTATGTATTTTTTTAATCTTTTCTTTTCTAGAGAAAGATGAACTGTTGGCTAGCTTAACATCTGAAATAACAACGTTTTCAAATGATGTTGCAACATTCGAAATGAACACAGTGGACCTTAATAAGGTAAGGATTCCTCGCTGTGTTATATTTCGTGTGTATTGTGTATCTCTGCATCTTTAGTTTTATCACATAAATTTCAGGCTTAACATAAATATTAATTACTGTTGATGTAATATTGATTTCTAGGAAAAGATGCACGACGAGTTTATTTCGGTTCTTCAAGGTGATCTTATTGCCTACATGGAAATAAAAGAGCGTGAAGAAGCATCAGTGTGTGAGAAAAATTTGGATTCCCAGTACAAGCTCAGCGCTGTATGTTTATTCTTTTTATCTAAACATTTGTTTAACACGAAGTATGTTTTAAAAGATCATTATCAGATCATTATAAAGATCAGACCATTATGACAACCTATTTTTATTGTTGTTCTTTCCCTGACTTTTCGTAGAGTATCATAGGTGCCACAATTCCATTGTCTGTTCCCTTTGATTCTCCCTAATGTTAAAAGTATTTTTCTTGTAATACACAACTCATCTTTCTAACTGGGCATTGTTAAAAAATCCAAGTTTTGAAAAATAAGGGTAGAATTTAAATTTTTGTAGGTGAATTTTATATAATTTACTTCAGTGAAATACGTAGTTTTTGTCAGAATAGTGACTACTTCTAACCGTTTACCGCCCCGTCGCGGCTTTGAGGTGTTCCTGTGTGTCGAGCTGTGATTTACAGCGTGTGGATTCATCCCCCTCGCAAGGTCTCGCAGCCTGAGGAGTCTGGCGTTTCCATCGGGAATCCCGGCTAATAGCAGACCAATACCAGGATCCACCATCGTCCTGGTATCAAACTAGTCGCATGGTGGCAAATCTCCCTCTGATCCGTCAGTACGGCGACTGACTATGTTGATGACAACCTGAGGTAAACTTTAGCTAGACAAGCCCTCACTGCAGGCTGTTTTCGGGGCTCCAGGAAACGACAGTGGCTAAAGCACCAAATCTCGGGAGAATGGAAATTATGCTGGGGCCCGCACAACTAGTGAACACAGACCATCTATGTATCCAAGTAAGTGTAGTGACGCTGATGTTGTCTGCAACTTTTTCTTGCAGATTTGCAGGTATTATATCAGGTGGTGGACAAGTCTTTGTTTTAAGTATAGTGGACGGATTGCTAATATAACCTTTCTCCTTGAGATCCAAGGATTACTGGGCATGAGGACTGTTCATTCCTCTCACTGTATAGCTCCACTTACTACCCAGTTATGACTAAATCTAGGAAATAAACTAGAAATGGTATTCAACTCGTGAGGAGATTAACAATGACTAGCTTGTTTCATAATAACCTTGTATTACCCATGCTTTACCTTTGTACATTTCATTCCTTTATTTTTATTCTCTTGGTCAGGTTCAAAAAAGACGAGCCATGTTAGAAACGGTCTACTCCGAAAAGGAAATTGAGCATGCGAAACTACTTGTTGAAAAGAAGGATCTTGAAGCTCAAATCGAAGCGTTTACTACACTTTCTACACCGCGTAGACCTGTTGGAGCACCAACGAAGATGGGCTCACGTAAATCGATCACTGTTGAACAACTACACTCTCAGAAACAAAGTGATTCCGATAGCGATGATGGTGAGTGCAGTTTATACTCTTTTTTAAAATAAAACTACGTAATATCTACTGTGCTGATCCCAGCCTTTCTTCCATTCGATTTGTTCTTCTCGCGTTCATCATTCACAAAGATCTTCGAGCATTTTGCTCGTTGTTTCGACGGGTGCTTGAGGAGTTCGTTTTCTCTGTGAATGCCGTAGAATGCTGGTCAAGTCAACTTTCTTTGTAGCCTTGTAGATAGCCGAGCTATGGCGTTCCCGCACAGGTTGGATGAGGGCGTTGGCGACGAAGTCGAACCAGCACCTTACTTGATGGACTGCACCACCAACTATCTCCGTCTTCTCAGTCTGTCTGTCTGCCTCTCCCTCTCTTTCTATATATATATATGTATATATATATATATGTATATATGTATATATATAAGCGAAACGAAGGACCCACATGGTGTGGTGGTGAACGCGTTAGCCGTTGGAAAGGGTAATAGCAGTGCGTTCGTTCCCCATAGCAGACACTTGCGGTCCAGTGTTTTGCAAATATCTCAGCATCATTAACGTTGTATTTCGCATTATACCCTGCCGAGAAAAATTATAGTAGGCACCAAATAAAAAGCTAGCATTATATATATTTGTGTATGCTTATATATATATGCGTATATGTATATATATATATATATATATATATATATATATGTAGATATTTATACATACGTATGGTTGGTTTTGCGTCAAAGGTCTTTTTGCTATACTTTTTATACAAAATTGCTAGGCGTTCCATACCCAGATGTGCCATTCGTTCCTCGAATTCTTTTCAAAAGAGCTGGTTTTTAGAAGAAGTTGTTCGCAAAGTTGTCATATAAACATATGCCTATAATGCTTGGTGTTATAAGATCGAAGTAATCAGCAAAGCGAAGACGGTATAATTACGGACCGTCAACTTTTAGTCCAATGGTGTTCTAATTTTCGGACAACGTTCTCGAGAGTGCCTGTATATAAATTTTGACGTGCTTTCCTTATCGTGCTTTCAGACTTTTCTCTTTACATCAATGTTTGTATTACTAGAGAATGATGATATTTTGGTTCGGTACAGCAGAAATGGGATGTTCATTCCATGTATCCATCTGCATCTAAGAGAAACACAAAGTCGATTTTGCTCCGCGCTTGAGCCTCAATCGGCCACCTAATGGCGCGCTATGTCGTCTTGAGGCTAATCGGCAGGAAATCTTGCAAAGGAGATCCGTGGTTATATATGTATATGTATGTATGTATATATATGTATGTACACGTATATATACATATATATATGAACATGTATATATATGTATATATACATATATATATATATATATAACGTCTGTATGCTTTATGTTTTTTGGCTACGGTTTTGCTGTCGTGGTTACTCAATATTGATCTTGTTTTTTAATCTTATGTTTATGCTATACCATTTTTATCAGGTGCTTCGTCTGGTGTACGCGATGTCGTAGGCTTGCAGCCATTTTCTCCGGCAACAATTTCTTTCAAAGAGAGAACGAAGTCGGAAAGTGTGGCTCGTCAAAAAAAGTCTAAAAAGGTATCTCTTTTATACATATGTATATATACACAAATGTATATACGTATATATATGGGTATATTCACATATATGCGTATATATGTGTAATATGTTCATGTATATATATATATATATATATATATATATATGCAGAGGGAGAGGGAGAATTGAATCGGAATCCTTGGAACATGATTTCCAGTAGAATAGCTTGGGGATTGTTGTAAGGGTCATTTTACGGGATTATCAACGTTGGCATTTTAAAAGTGGTTTAGCCTCTTTTAGCCAGTTGATCTTGTCGAAAATGAACGAAGTGTAACCAGAGCTGGATACCGCACGTCGGATTCCTCAGTGAAGCAACTTTCAGCCATTGAACGTGAAAGATCAGCGAATGAACCTAGTGTAAATGTTTCGACACTTTTCTTGGCTTATTTGGTTTCAAATATTTTTCAATTTACTTTTAGTTTAATACCTTTAGAATAAAGAAGAAGATAGCTTATTTTCTTCATTTTCGGACTTTACTGACAGCGAAAAGTCGTCTGCTTCTGAGAAATTCATTGCAAAGCGATTTCCGAATGATATCTTTCTGAAACCATCTCCTTCAGTTGGTGAGTCTTAATTAGTTCTAAAATTTTCAAAAAATTACTGGTCTTTAGACAAACTTCTTCCCATAGATGCTCATATATTTATACATAGATATACGTTTATATATTTACACATGTACATACACGTATACATACATATATACGTACATATACACATATATACATGCATATATATACCTACATATATACATAGGTATATACATACGTATACACACATACATATATACATACATATGTACATATATACATACATATATACATGCATATATAAATGAAGTTCTGAAATTAATATCCGATCCATAATTTAATTTTTGTTGTATATGTTTTAGCAATAGTTTTCTTTATCTACTTGGTTACTTGGATAGCCCTTCATCACTGGTTGTGCGGTTCCCAGTATAATTTCCATTTTTTCGGAAATTTGCAGGTTTAGCCATTATGGTTCCTTGGAATCCCGAGGTTAGGTTGGCCAAATTCTGCTCCAGGTCGTCACCACGTCAGGCAGTCACAGCCCTGTGGATCAGAGGGAGATTTGCCACCACTCAACTTTGATACCAAGACGGTGGTGGATCCTGGTATTGGTTTACTCTTAGCTAGGCTTCTTAATGGAAACTCCGGGCTCCTTCCCTTCTCAACTCGGGAGACTCTACCGGGGAGTGAATCCTCCACTGTACTTTGCAGCCCGACACCCAAGAACACCTCCCAGCCACGATGAGGTGGTAAACCGTTTAGAGGATGGTATTTTCTTCACTATCATTTATTATTGCAAAGGTTCTTTCATGCACTTTTGCTCCGTGTTATTGAAGAATAATAAATAGTCTTCTTGACAAATGTTAAAGGCTAGGATTTAAGAAGTCAAAATAGTGATTTCGGCAAATCTACTTCTTTAAATGCAAACTTGGAAATAAGTATTGTAAACGACTTGGAACATTAATGAGCCATGGAGCCAAGGAAGTATTAACAAACGAACGCTGAAGCTTTTGTATCAAAAATACTATTATGGAGTGTTCGACCTTGAAGTTGAAAAATGTCCTGGACACTGAATTGGTGACTCAAAAATGACTAAGAGTACGTACTTGCTCAGAAAGGATTTCGAGAACTTGCTGAGGAACTCGATTTGAGTATCCAACTGTTTCAGAGCATCTAAACGAAATCGGAAAGTCGAAGAAGCTCAGCGAATGGGCGCTGCTCCAGTAGGTGGCATTCAAAGAAGTCGCCACTTTAAGGTATAATCCGCGTTCATCTGCGCAACTGGTGCGATCCCTGTTTTTCGACTGTACTGTGTCGTGCGGTGAGAAATGGATCTTCTATAATATCTGATGACGCCGGTGGTTGGACTGCGATGAAGCTCCGAAGCAATCCCCAGAAACAAAACCACACCAAAAGATCAATCTGACCATTTAATGGTTTCCTACTAGTTTACTACATCGCAATTCACTGGTTTTCTCTATGGACAAACATGAAGTTGTTATTACACCATTTATTAATGCACAATAACTGACGTTTTGGCGGTTTTACCTTCTTCAGATCCAGGAGTGGTCAAATGGACACGCAATCTACTCAGCCAAACACTTTCGTAACGTTAGCCGTTAAATCTTAATCCATTTATGGAATTCGGAATATAGAATCTTCATTCGCATGATAAGAAATTTTTTTAAACACTCAGTTTTGTTCGTTGTACTTATGGCTAAACGGGTGGAGCGCGCTCCATCAGTATAAAGGACTACCTAGCTGGGAAACTTGGAATCAGGCAAGGCAATCCATTACGCACAATAGAACGTTTTAAAGTTAAAATCACTATCCTCGCACAGGAATCAAACATCAGCGCGTGAAACTCTTGAAGCGTTTGGATAACTCCAAAATTCCACAAATGAACCGCAAACGGTCTTATCATTACATGTGACCTCGTGCCATACCTCAGGTTGATTCTTTGACGTCCTTATCAAATAAGTGGAAAGCTTATAGAGGAGAAAACGAATGATTAGAAGAAGCTGTTTGTAATACGAATAATAATTGATGGATCGAATGCTTTCTGGTGACGTTATAAAAGCTGAATAGATTGCATGTGAATTTGAGTTTTTCGCGCTGTGGAGAAGCGGAAAAGTCAGCTATTGTAAATGAATAAGTGTAATAACAACCTCGCGCTTGGCTTTCAAGAAAACAGTTATTTGCTCATAAATGCCTAGTTTAATAGGAAGTCGATTTTTGGATTTATCTATTACAATTTCCTGAACCCAGATAGGATTATTACGGTAGGAATGTGTATCAAGGAGACCGAAATGCGCCAGAAACTTCAACGGCTGAACCCCGCAATGCTCAACAAAAGCACCACTCCACGATAACATTTGTCGACCAGTCGTATAGCCAACGTGACAAAGTTTGAACGAGCTGTGCTACGAAAGTCTGCTCTACTCACTATACCCACCAGAGGTCTCCTCTACTTGCTACGACTTCGTCAATTATCTCAAAGCATCTGAGTACGAGAAGTGCTTCAGAAACTAAACTCAGGTCGAAACTTCATCGCCTTCAGAAGTCGAGAATTTTATGCAATTAGTGTGGAAAGTTTTTTCCTCGTTGGTAAAATCTGTAGATTCTAATGGTTTTTATCTACATTAATAAAGTTTAGTCGTATTTGACGTATGGTTCTTGGAAAATGCCGGTTTACATCGGGTGTTAGCCTCCAGGGAGGACGATTATATATATGTATATATTTATTCGTATATACATATATATCACCATCTGTCGTTCCATCGATTGCCTAAATACTCGATCTGACGCGAGTAAAGTCTCCATTTTTGTTTTCTTCAGAGATCGTCGGCATAATTTCTGTCTCCAGACATTTATCCTTCGGGTGGTGTTTATAGACATGGTCTGGTTTGTGCTTGGTGATAACTGCGGGCGTCGTAATGTGATCCATAATTAATACCCAGCTGTTGTTGACTGCTTCAATTACGGAAGCCTCCAGTGGAATTAAGCAGTTTAGAGGACTCTTCTTGCCACATTGTGGGCCAGAATGTGCTTGGCTTTAGATACATGTGTACTTCTCAATCTCGAAGAGAGAATATTTGTTGAGCACGAGTACCAAAGTTTGCAGTGATAACATGTCCCAGTTATACGAGCTTATTGGTGAACAACGTCCGTGTTATGGTTAAAGCTCATTTTCACCGAGAAGATATTACTGAACATTGAAATTGAACATCATCTTGGGCTTCTGTTGCATGCACATGAAATGCTTGTTTTAATGCCCATATTTCATTCGCAGTAGTTTCGTTCACGTGGTTTCAAAGTGGTTATTAGCACCTGAACAATTTTGAATTTCTTGTTTATTTAGATCGAAACGAATCCGTTTCTGCTGAGGTATCAACATTTGACCGAAGTGATGACGACCAAAGCATATGGTCTCCAGCACAATCGTGTAAGCAACGTAAAAAGAACTGTATTACGGACATGACGACAGAAGCAGACCTTGATCAAAGCGTTTGGTAGCTTTTATTTAGTAATTTGTGTTGCAGTATTTGTACTACCGTCGTTAGTCTTGTTAGACTGTCGTTCGTTGATGAATTCGCGTTGTGCTTCATTTTATTCTGCAGCTGTATTCATGAGTCGGTAGGAACTTATGTTGCTAATTTTCGGAAAGGAATTTGATGTGATCAGATTTGTTTTTGAGGTTTTTAAGATCAGCTGTCATTTGTTTCTCGTACCCTATGTTCTGTATGTCAAATTGTTGAAGCTGTAAATTGTTTTCTGTGAATTGTTGTTTTGAAATCTTTTTTTTTGCATCTTTTCTACTTTTATGTGAAATTCATGATGGGTAGGTCCCTTTACAAACTGCATGGCACTGGAGATAGATATACTAAGAGATGCGAGGAAACAGTTTTATGACGCAAAATTTTTGGGTGCTGTCGGTGTTTATCCCGTCCATTAGTCCGTGTAGCGCAGTGTCTGGAAGTGCGCTGTAAATACAAACTGGAACAGTCACTCGGAACCGGGTCCAGTGTTCATCAAGCCTTACATCTTTTCGAAGTCGGCAGAATGGTACCAGGCCATCTGAGACCATGAAAACAACGACTGGATAGTATCTTAGCCTGTACTTCTTGTTTATTCTTTTTTTTGTGGCGGCGTACGGTGTGAAATACAACCATAGCGATGTTGAGGTGTGAGCAAAAATTGGAAACAGTTGTGCTTCGAAACGACTACTTTTGCCGGAGGGTTAACGTACTATTCACCGCATCGCTCGTGGTCATTGCTTCATCTTTCTCTTAACTATGTTTTCACTCTAGCGGTTCTTTCAGTAGTCATCCGTCAACGGGATTGCACTGGGGAGCACTAATCGGCATTGAACCCAACTGAGCTAGAACTGAAATCAGAATCATAATTTTTGACTGTGGCCTGCTAAGTTCTTGCTTCCTTGGTGAGAAAACATGAGGTTGCCATCACAACATTTATTTCATTTGACTAACGTTTCGGCGACTTCATTTTTTTTGGTGAAAGCAAAAAATAAAGACACCTTCAAAAACTAAGAGTTCTGCCAGAGGCTGGTCAAAGCCGAGCAATCTGATTACGCTATATTGCCCGCTTCTATTGCTCAAGTTTGAGGTTTGGGATCAATAATTCGGAGAAGAAACATCCATAGTGGAACAAACATGTCTCCAAGCAGCAACACATTTCTCCAATTTCTTTTTTTGTGATCAAGCGAAACGTTGGAAAATTGGGATAATCATACTGTTGTTATGCACTCAATGATGTCGGGCTTTCCTAGACGGCTATCATGTTTTGTAGTTTATTAAAAAAAAAGCTCTCTGCGTTGATCAATCCCTGAAGGATGCGCCACGCATTCGACATCATTAGGCATAATTTGGAGGTGAGTGAATGCAAATCTGGCCTTTACAATGACTTGCGGTGGCCTACCGATGTATCAAGCGAGTGCTGCTATCCTCCCAGACAATTCTGGTGCCAATTTGGCGACCCTAGAAGTATGGAAGGCTTGTTGAGCATGGGACGCGGGGATCGATACCAAGTGTATTGCAAGGCGCTTACGACGACTGCGCCACACTTACCTCTTTGATGACTAATAAACAACGTAACCACCCAGCCTGACATCATGATACAGTCTATAAGCCGACGAAGTCCAACGTAGGTATTCATAACCCATCGTGCACGGCTTGTTATCGTGCTCATACCCACAATCAATCCAATGCCTCGAGAGACCGCCCGCTATCTACAGACATTTCTTAATGAAAATCGTCTTCCTTATCAGAGTTCTGCGCATTATGACTTAATTTCTAAGCGTCTGTCTCATAGTTCTTGCCGTTGAGTGTATGGTGGTGGTATTGTTCGTAGAATTGGCAGTCAGGCTATAATTTAATGCAGACCTTTTTGTGTAATAACGAGGCAGCAGTGGAACATGTCGTACTCAGAATCGCCCTGCTATCTTGTTACACTAAATCCCACACGAAACCCTCCACTACACAAACTTGTGTGTTATGGAATTCTCTATAAATCTGTAACATAAAATATGTGGGTAAATGAGATGTTCAACACACATACACACATTACAATCATTTCCACCTTTATGTGCACAAAATTAGCGTTCGGATAAAATTTTTTCATTCGAACCCGAACATATTGAGCACAATACACACTAAACACCTCGAAACGATTAGCGTTGAACTGTTTGTGCGTCTGTGGAATTTAGAAGCACTTGCGATGAACAATGGATGGGCCGGATTCGTCGTATTCCTGCTTGGAGATCCACATCTGTTGGAAGGTAGACAGAGAGGCAAGAATAGATCCTCCGATCCAGACCGAGTATTTGCGTTCAGGTGGTGCGATGATCTTGATCTTCATTGTGCTGAAAGAGAAAAGTTTAGGATGAACGTATGTGACGTTCGTATTCATCTTCAGCTACGTATTTATTGCAAGACAATTGATCCAAAGGATTACCTCGGAGCAAGAGCGGTCATCTCTTTCTGCATACGGTCAGCAATTCCGGGATACATGGTGCTACCTCCTGAGAGTACTGTGTTGGCGTACAAGTCTTTGCGGATATCAATATCGCATTTCATGATCGAGTTGTACGAGTTCTCGTGAATACCAGCAGATTCCATACCCAAGAATGAAGGCTAAATAACTAGGTTGGTGTGGAGCATGTTATTAAGCACAGTTAGTTCTCTAGTTCCTCACCAACCTGGAACATGGCCTCAGGGCAACGGAATCGCTCGTTTCCGACGGTGATGACCTGTCCGTCAGGAAGTTCATAGGACTTCTCAAGAGAAGAAGAGGAGGCGGCAGTGGCCATTTCTTGCTCGAAATCGAGAGCTACATAGCACAATTTCTCCTGAACGAAAGATATACATTTTCACAGACTGATGAGATGTTTAGTACATGTAATCCTACAAGCGAAGACAAACCTTGATGTCTCGCACAATTTCACGTTCGGCTGTGGTGGTGAATGAGTAACCACGTTCAGTGAGGATCTTCATCAAGTAATCAGTAAGATCACGTCCGGCAAGGTCGAGACGAAGGATGGCGTGAGGGAGGGCATATCCCTATAAGATCATAGTGATATTGCTTCCTTATTTTCACCGTGCTGCACTATTCTTACCTCATAGATAGGGACAGTGTGGGTGACTCCATCTCCCGAATCGAGTACGACTCCAGTGGTACGACCAGAGGCATAAAGGGATAGCACAGCCTGGATGGCAACGTACATTGCAGGCGTGTTGAAGGTTTCGAACATGATCTGGGTCATCTTCTCCCTGTTGGCCTTTGGGTTAAGGGGAGCTTCAGTCAACAGAACGGGGTGCTCTTCGGGAGCAACACGAAGCTCATTGTAAAAGGTGTGATGCCAGATCTTCTCCATATCGTCCCAGTTAGTGACGATACCGTGCTCAATTGGATACTTGAGAGTGAGGATACCTGAAATTATCACGGACTAAACTCTGTGCCTANTCATAGTGATATTGCTTCCTTATTTTCACCGTGCTGCACTATTCTTACCTCATAGATAGGGACAGTGTGGGTGACTCCATCTCCCGAATCGAGTACGACTCCAGTGGTACGACCAGAGGCATAAAGGGATAGCACAGCCTGGATGGCAACGTACATTGCAGGCGTGTTGAAGGTTTCGAACATGATCTGGGTCATCTTCTCCCTGTTGGCCTTTGGGTTAAGGGGAGCTTCAGTCAACAGAACGGGGTGCTCTTCGGGAGCAACACGAAGCTCATTGTAAAAGGTGTGATGCCAGATCTTCTCCATATCGTCCCAGTTAGTGACGATACCGTGCTCAATTGGATACTTGAGAGTGAGGATACCTGAAATTATCACGGACTAAACTCTGTGCCTATCTTTATTCTCATCATAACTCGATTTTCTACACACCTCTCTTGGATTGGGCTTCATCTCCTACATATGAATCCTTTTGTCCCATACCAACCATGACACCCTGGTGGCGAGGGCGACCGACAATGGAGGGAAATACGGCGCGGGGAGCATCGTCTCCGGCAAATCCGGCTTTGCACATTCCGGATCCATTGTCGACCACAAGAGCCGCAACTTCGTCGTCGCACATTCTGGCTAGCTGTAAATTTGGTCATGGTCTAGGAACTATTAGCACGTAGCACAACTTTAGAGAAGACCGTCATCCACGAAATATGACGTGATAACAGAAGACTTTTCAAGTATAATTCGATGAGTGAATTGTAAATTTAGGCTAACCATCACCGCCCTAGAACGAGTACGTTAATGAATTGAACAATTCTCAAATAGTAGAGAGCGATAAAACTTCATGGATGTTTATAAGCCTAGGGTAAACAATCTATGCTGATAAAGGTATGGGATATTTGATAAAATTTACGTGATATTCGAATAGATGCTAGCTAATGCAGCAACAGAATAGAATGAACATTGGTGAATGAGCAACTGAATGTGGATGGTCGTTTGCGGAGAAAGGGGCTTTATATAGTTGCGTGTAGTGCCTGCTCTTTGCGATTCCTAGGAACAATTGCGCTAAAGATACGCCGAGTTCCACGAAACATGCCGATGGTACCGCCCTCATCCTCCTCCATCGAATTGCTAGCAGCTGCCTGCAACAGCGCTCATAGGAGAACTTATCGTCCACTACTATGTGGAACTCTGAGAAGTCCATAAACATTTCGTACAGTTTCACATTTGTCAAAAATGTGAGGTAAATTACCAAGAAGTTCAGGTAGTTCGACGATGAGTAGTTAAAAAATTCCTAATACTCTGGGTCGTGAAAATCCGAATATATTCGATAGATAATGAACAAATAATGGTGCAAAACGGCATGTGTAGCGCATGTGGTTAGAGGTGCCTTGCAATATACATGCGGTTAGTGGTTCGATCTTGCGCTCCAGCTCACGAAGTCTTCCACCATTTTGGGGTCGGTAAATTAGTACTAGAACTCTCTGGAAAGAGGAGCACATTAATTTGATACATCTTTAGGGAACTGCGAGTCGTATGAACTAGAAATGTATTCAAACACCTTTGAGGACACTTGTTGAAATCGAAAGTATGGAGCATCCGTCAGAGGCTGATCAATGCCCAAAGCTTTATCCTTTACCGACCAAATTCTTATCCAACCATTTTTCTATTTTCTTTTATGAGCGTTGTTCTCGCATTCTCGAGTTTTTAGCAATCTTCTTTTCTCAGATCTCTCATCAAGAGGGTGAAACTAAGAAGGATGATGTTCTTGAAGGTTACAAATTCATGGTATACTGTTCTTGAACTAATCTTTGATAAGTTTCATAAAAATCTTGTAGAAGGAATAGTTGACTAATTTTGCCTATCACTGTATCCAATGCTGAAAAGTGTAAAAAAGTCTAGGCCATACATTATAATGTAAAATAGGGGATACAGGAGAATCTGATTTTCCGCGAGACCTCAATGAAGCTTGGTTACTCCTATACAGAAGCCGATGAGTCTGGCATACCAACATAATAAATGTGTTCTTCAAGAATGTTTTTCCTTGAAAACTACTACTAGGAGCTCATCAGAGAGGCGCATTCAAACCTTGTGAAAAAACCGAGGCGTAAACCTTAATTGTGAAAAAGTGTACCTGAGCAGGTAAAACACTCAAAAGTTGGAAGTCAGTTAGGCTCTTAAAAATTTGTTTTGTTATTATTTTAGGGATATATCTGCACTACGTCTAATGTCTTCAGTGTATCTGTACATCTGGTGCAATCAGTGTACTTCTTATATTTTGAACAAAGCGAAGGAAACATCCAGAAAGCTTCCGGATCTCTCTTTGTTCATACAAACCCAGAAATCTTTTTTTAAAACTACCTACTTATTAAATCTATTTATTAACGTAGCGTGAGCTCGACGACTTAAATACATGGAGAAATCTTTCGCTATATTCGACCTTTTGTATAGACCTTCACATAATTTTATAATTTTCTTGCATTTTCCAAGAAAAATCTCTTTACGAAGGAAAATCCATCCTTTGCTGCCTTTGTAGACATTCTGCGTTCATCATGAATTGAGAGAGTAGTGATGATTCATGTAGTAAAACAACTTCAATCTTTTAAACTTCCATCGAAAATCAACTTCCATCTACAGAAAGACTTAGTTACACATGGAAATAATCGTAACTTGGCCTTTTAAAGTGCTGTTATCTTTAAACGTAGTTTTCTTCGTAGGAATAATGTGTAGATCTGTGTACAAGTAAGACTTCTCAAAGTTTAGAAATCTGTTTTTCAAGCCGATCAAACAGACAATGAATCAACCAACTACTAAATATGAAAGTAACCAATCGAAAAGCTATTGTTTCTACGAATTACACAGTGATTTTAGTTACGTTAATTTGCAGGATGATCTCTGTCATCTGTTGGAGAGTGGACGGTTCTAACGACATATGTCATGATTGAGGTCTCAACCGCATCTTCACTGACGTATCATTTTAATAACAATGCCAGGCATCTATACGATCGATCGAAAGCTCGACCATATCGATGAATATTGATCAGAAATACTGACTGCAGAGTGGTGGTTTTATGAACAGGATCGGCATAACAGCTAAAAATAACTGACATTGGTCAGTGGTGTGTCGTCTTGGTATGATCATTGACTTCATCAAGTGAAGAGGAAATCACCTAAACCTTGCGAATCCTTACCAAAGAGATAATCAAGAGTGCTTGTAGAAACGCATTGACAGGAAGTCCTCAAGATTTCTGTGAACGTCACGAATATGCACAATATTTTAATTAATTACCCTGTAGAATGATGTGCTTCAAGGATTTCTCTGATGAAGTGAGATTTCTCTATCAGTTTCATATTGTTGAAGGGTTACGTTCATTTGGATTATGACCTGTGTTCTGAAGAATTGCTAGTGGTCCTGTCTTAATAGGAGATAAATCTGATGACTTTACATAAAGTTTTCTAACACCTACGGCAGAGCTACCTCTAATGCGTTCTAGAACTTTAGCGAAGTATCCAAGAACTTGCTACTGATACATTAGCTAATTGCTGTTATCTTCGAGAATTTTCTACTCAATCCTTCATCGGTAGTTCAACTGCTCTGCTTAAAGACGCTGTTGCTATTAATATCAGAAAGTAATTCGCACTAAAATGTTCGTAGGTGTATCATTTGATTGTTACTGATTAGTACGCCCTTCCAATTGCTTCTAGAAAGTGTTTATATCAATCTAGCCGATATTTTTATTTATAGCTAGTTGTGTTGAGCGTCAAAGTCAAGTTCACCACGCATCCTCGCCGTTTTCCTGGGATTCGTCGTCGTAAACTCTATCACTTCCACGCCCTCATCCTAGCGACGGCGTACAGCTGGCACTCACCCACGATGTAATGAAACCCCACTCAGAAGGCACTCCATAATCCCCAACTACTTTGAGAGTCTCACCACTTCCTGAACAAAATCATTGGAACTGAACAAAAATACCCCTAACAATCCTTATTAGATGAAAGAAAATCGTAGTAATAAAAAAGTGGTTCTGAAGATGAAGGAGAATTGAATCAATTGGAGCACATTTGAAATACATCTGTGATTGAGTCGAAAGGAAGAAAGAAAAAGAAGAAGAATCAAAACACGTTCGATCCCATTTGTTTATGTATGTGACTCCCCGACATCGAGTAAAAATCAAGAAGTTTAAGGTGTTCAGTAGCGAATAGTGACAAAAGTCGTAAGACTCCGGATCGTGGAAATCCGATGACATTTAGTAAATACTACCCAGATCTGGTTTCATGAGATAGTTCATGTTTGTTTTGTAGATGTTGTTCAATACGATCTTGTGAAAAACTGTAAACTGTGCGAATTCAAGCAATTCTTTCATTTGACTCGTTGTCTTGGATCCATCGACCACAGAGGTTTTCTGACTTTGCATGTAAGTCCGCATGACACTTAAGAGCTTCGTCGTTTTTGCGAATGTCTCTGAATTCTAGTCGAGTTGATTCTTTCTAGCATAGCTCTTACTAAACCGTCCCCACGTCTTCAACATAGAAATCCATCGTGTGGGTCTGTAGGAGTTTTTCCCCAGTTTCCTTTCAATTTGCCGAGTACGGAATGACAACAGCTTCTGAGAGGTCGAACAGATGATCACGGTGTGTTGCGCGGCATCTGTAACCACTGCGCTTTCAGCGATTCACTTCATTTGGTGCATAGAAGTTATAGCGTTTGATCTTTGTTTTGTAAACTGACTGTGTTAAGGATGTATCAGGAAACTCAAGAGTTTCAGCTTCCCTACAATTAATTCAAAAGCTTCAAAGCCAAATGAATTTTTATGAATGTACAGCAAACAGAACACGAATTTTCAAGAGATTGTGGTTAGGTGGGAAAGCATTTATCAAAAAGCTTGGAAACTACTAGCGCAGACTAAATCATTGTCGAGTTCTGCTTAGATCAGTGGTAACAGAGAATTGAACGACATAGCAGTGCCCTTATAAAGCCGAAATTTACTTCAAGTGTAACTCTTTGAGGAAATCAGTAGAAGTGTGTTGATAGGTGACCAATTCGATCTTGGTTCGACGCAACGTTTTGCTGACAGCATAGATGTGGTTTCTAAACGGCTTAATACGGTTGATCACACCCATTCGCATCTGTCGCCGTAAATTTGACAACATTGCTTCGACACCTCAGCCTCGATAGCTCAGTTGAAAGAGCGTTAGACTGAAGATCTTAAGGACACCAGTTCGAACCTGGTTCGGGGCAAGCAGTCCTTTTTCATAGGATAGACATGGTTTTGTGTACGGTTTGGCACGGTTAAGTCCACTATCCACATCTGTCACCGCAAATTTGATAATTTCGATAGACTAGCTGCACGAGGCTGGATATCTCTAACCTTTTTGTTATCTTCAGATAAATTTGAATGTACGCTTTTGCCTAACCCGTTTAGGTACTAGGCTAACTAAAAACCCCTTCTCTAAGTAACGGTCTACAAGGAGAGGTATTTATTACAACTTTACTAGTTTAAGGGTGTAGACCTGTTTTGATTAAAACTGGTCCTTTTATTCAGTTAGATCCAATCAAGTTCCATTGCTCAGATTAGGGGTTACTTCAGTTCAACCGTCGAGGACCATATCCTGCTGATGATAACATTAATTTCTTACGTGGGTATTGTTTCTCAAAAAAAAAAGCTAAAGTTGTCGATGATGATTAATGGATTCGATGTCCTGCCGAATTTCTTCACTTAATACGAACACCCGCGAATCTCAAAACGTAGTTCCTAGAATATTTTCCATTTGAATGATTCTGTTCATCGAGGATTAGGCGAAATTCTTTCCTAATCTTAAGATTAACCACAATGATGCCAAGATATTTGCAAAACCCAGACCCCAGTCTAGAGTCGAACCCGCTATTACTATTTCCAAGACTGAGGTTTGAGTTTTGTAAACATCTCAGCATCCTTGCGGTTGTATTTTTACACAATATATTGCCATGAAGAAATAATAGGCAAGAAATAAAAACCCATAAATTGTCATTAGCAATGGTTCAGAAAAAGCCTAGCCAGCCGATCATAGGGAATAGTTGATCTTCAAGGTTAGAACCGTAGTGTAAGTAAGTTCATCTACATTGATCCAGGAAATGGCAGTTCTTAACATTAGTTAACTCCAAGCTTTGGTTTCTGACGGAAATGTGGAACTGTTCCTCAAAACGGAATGACCTTGTCGGCGAGATGAACCCGACATTCGATAACCAGCAACACAGCATTGACATGATGAAGCGATAAGTCATTAAGCGAGAAACCCATTAAATCTTCGCTGCAAATTTCTACACTACTGGAGAGTTCCAGACTTGTACTGACACACTCCACGTATTTCTGTCTTTCAAACGAAGAAAACACGAAGATCCTACACATAACTTCTAAGAACAATGAGTCATTCGATCCTGACGAAGATTTAATGTCCTGATAGCCAGTAGAGATCGTAGACGGAATAGAGTGTACAGACATCAGATGACCAGATGGTGGTGTTGATGACGAGCGATGTTGAGCGAACGCGTTACGCACAATCTATTCGAAGAATGTTCCAGAACATCATCGATAGCGAACAACACTTAATGAATAATACACATATCCTCCATTGTGGACCGATTTCCATTTAATCTCGATAAAAGCTCCTGGCGTCCATGAGGGATGCGCCATTCATTCGACTACATTAAGCATTGTTGGAGATGATTGAATGCATATCTGGCTTCTAGAATGAATCGCGGCGGCGTACCGATGTATCGAACCAGTGCTGCTGTCCACACAGAAAAGTCTGGTACCAACTTACCCACTCCGGAGTGATGGAGAATTTGGTGGGCATGGGGCGCGGGGATCAATCTCATGTGTATGGCAGGGGGCCTCCGACCTCTTCTTTATGCGCGTCCTTTAACCTCTACATGAATGACCAATGTAGCTTATTTCAGTGATAAGCTAACACGAGAGTCCCACTCGCAAGAGCACGGCTCTCAGGAGAAATCGCCAGGACGTCAGGCATCAACCAACAACAACAATGGCAACAATAACGACAACAACGACAGCAACAAAAAAACAACAACAACAATGACAACTTGTACCAACCTCGCCCCAGCTCAACAAAAGCAGTTCATAAGAACAGATTGTGGATGACTCAAAACTGTTACCAAACACTTATTCGGGCAACATTTCGATGTCTTCGTCTTTTTCCGGGACGAAGTTCCGACTCGATGGTCCAAAGTCGTTCATAATCTCAACTCGTGATAAACTTTCTCGGATCATAAGCTCTGAAGAAGACGAAGATGTCGAAGCGTTGGCGGGACAAATGTCCAGTAACAACGTCGTGTTAGCTTATCAATGAACCAGGGTAAACATATCCATGCTTGTTATGGATTTTCAACTACGTATCGTCAGAAACATTGGAAAAAACTATTACATTACCATATTTCGGTCTATATACTTGTTCATCGCGACGAGTAAAAACGCTTAGAAAGACATGACGGTCAGTTAAACATTGCTCCTATATAAGAACTGAAGTCGATGTGTCTATCTAACAATCGATTCAACGATTCTGATCCTATTTTGAAACATCATTTTCTGTAAATCGAGGGTAAGAGCTACAGAACCGTTGTCGGAGATCACCGAGAAAACCCGGTCAGGAACTTTAATCTACACTACTTAGAGGCACTTTAAAATATCCACGAAGCGCCACTTGCCGCTAAAGGACAACTGATGGAGATTAGGATTTTGCTATGACAAATTGGTCTAGTAGAAGTGCCCATGCTTACTGACCTCGACACTTCAATGCCCCGTCTTCACCAGTTGTGCGGGCTCCAGCATAATTTCCATTTTTTTTTCAGACTTTTGTTGGTTTAGCCATTGTGGTTCCCTGGAGTCCCGAGGGTAGCCAGGTCAAAGCCTGCCCCCCCACAAGCGCCCATAAATGTTCCAAATCAATCGTATAAGTTTCTCTATGCGTGTTGGTAGAAAGCTTATATGCCCTAAATCGGAACCAAGCACTGATTTCCCTTGCACCACTTGACCGCCAACGGGCAAGGTCAAACTCGTGACAATCGGTAACCGTAACCACAGTCTGAGTCTGCCGTAGTCTACAAATATAGCTTACTTGTCAAGTTTGGTTCGTCCCACCGTCGTTCAGTGTCATACTAGACATCGTGGGTACTGGAGTAATCGGGTGTACCTCCTCGCCGTCCGATGGATTTCTCGAGAAGAATGGGGAGGGCGATTTGAAATTGGCGCGCAACGATCGAACCGCCAATGAGCACAGTTCTAGACGGATCGGATCGATGCGCGCGGGTACCCCACTCACACCGACTGTGGCCTCCTTCAGTCCTTCCCTCTGCATTCACCCAGAGTGGTCGGCTGGTCGGCCGATCGGTTTGGTCGACTTCATTCTCCTCTTAGCTGGCTTTCGTGTAGTGAAGCTTCAGAGCTACATGTCCTATTTCTAAGAAGACCCTTAGTTTCACAGAAAACACCGAGTGTGTCGTCCTAGTCGTAGTTTGTACTCTGTAAGACTCTTTAGAAGAGTTAGTTGTACTTCAGTAGTCCGTATCTATTTGTTAGTAGCAGATGAAACTAGCAATCAGATCTCGAATCTCAATCTTCTGGTGAACCACAGTTTATTTCCCTGGCCCATTCGAATTTATAACGTTGGGCTAAGTACGTCTCGTTGTTTGTGTCTTTGTTGACGTCCGCTAACTACTGCCAACTTTATCAACCGCTGAAACCTCTTTAAGTGCTTTACGTACCTACCCTAAGCTTTTAACCTTTCATGTATGCATATATCTACATATATATGTATATGCGTATTTATATATACAAATATGTATTTTGCTCATTCCTATAGCGCGTGTAGCGCAGTGCTTAGAGGCGCTCTGCAATACTCATTCGACCGCGCGCCCAAGCACGCCAATCTTTCATCCATCCGGCTCGCCAAATTGGTGCGAGACCTGCCTAGGGAGGATTGTAGCACCGCCTGCCAACAGCGGTAGGCCCACCGCTGGTCCTTTATCTCTTGCCATTTGTACTTATTCGAAATGTCCTTGGGTTTGTAATGACGGGAGGAGCAAGAATTTAAGTGCCAGTTGTAGTTTGTTTCAGATTTCTATACCCATATAAGGCGAAGGAATTTCCAAAGACAAGTCTTTGAAAATCGCTTTGCCTAAAGTTTCACTCCACACTCCCCGATGTGTGAAATTATCGCCACGAGCAGCACAACTAAATTTTTGTGATTTTCATTTCATCTTAGATCTGAGTATTTTTTTGTCAATAGTATGGATTTCGGGACAGCGATCTTTGGTTGGTAGCACCATTACTGCTTCTTTTCACTTATCCCGAGTTGTGCTACTCATTTAAACCTTTCATTGGCGCTGTTTGTGTCCTGAATACCATTTTTTATTAATCATCTACTATTCTTTTGCCAAAAAAGGCAAAGGAAGTGCCTGCGTTTAATTGGTCTTTTTAGACCACTTCTGCAACATCAGCTCTCATAGAGTTCGGTTCCATATATAGTGTTCCTCATTCCATGGATCTTTTCTCCTATTCCTTTTCGAGTCAGAACTCTCATCTACTTCTCATTTCTCGTTTTCCATTTCACTGTTTGCTTCGTTTCACCGTTCTTGGCCCCTGTTCCTGAGAGTGCATGGTTGAACTTGTTTTGTCATGGCTCATGGTTTAGTGCAACAAAAGTGTCAACTTCGAACTGAGTATCCTTTGTTTTCAAAGGTGCACTCAGCCGTTGAGACTTGAATGTTCCACGCAGTGTCTTAGTACTTTGTAAGGTAGCGACATATTTTCCCAGAAAAGAAAAAATGTGCGACGACGAAGTTGCGGCTCTTGTGGTCGACAATGGATCCGGAATGTGCAAAGCCGGATTTGCCGGAGACGATGCTCCCCGCGCCGTATTTCCCTCCATTGTCGGTCGCCCTCGCCACCAGGGTGTCATGGTTGGTATGGGACAAAAGGATTCATATGTAGGAGATGAAGCCCAATCCAAGAGAGGTGTGTAGAAAATCGAGTTATGATGAGAATAAAGATAGGCACAGAGTTTAGTCCGTGATAATTTCAGGTATCCTCACTCTCAAGTATCCAATTGAGCACGGTATCGTCACTAACTGGGACGATATGGAGAAGATCTGGCATCACACCTTTTACAATGAGCTTCGTGTTGCTCCCGAAGAGCACCCCGTTCTGTTGACTGAAGCTCCCCTTAACCCAAAGGCCAACAGGGAGAAGATGACCCAGATCATGTTCGAAACCTTCAACACGCCTGCAATGTACGTTGCCATCCAGGCTGTGCTATCCCTTTATGCCTCTGGTCGTACCACTGGAGTCGTACTCGATTCGGGAGATGGAGTCACCCACACTGTCCCTATCTATGAGGTAAGAATAGTGCAGCACGGTGAAAATAAGGAAGCAATATCACTATGAACTTATAGGGATATGCCCTCCCTCACGCCATCCTTCGTCTCGACCTTGCCGGACGTGATCTTACTGATTACTTGATGAAGATCCTCACTGAACGTGGTTACTCATTCACCACCACAGCCGAACGTGAAATTGTGCGAGACATCAAGGTTTGTCTTCGCTTGTAGGATTACATGTACTAAATATCTCATCAGTCTGTGAAAATGTAAATCTTTCGTTCAGGAGAAATTGTGCTATGTAGCTCTCGATTTCGAGCAAGAAATGGCCACTGCAGCCTCCTCTTCTTCTCTTGAGAAGTCCTATGAACTTCCTGACGGACAGGTCATCACCGTCGGAAACGAGCGATTCCGTTGCCCTGAGGCCATGTTCCAGGTTGCTGAATAAAATTGTAGGAGAATTCCTGTTCACCAACGCTTTTTGAACATTATTTTTAGCCTTCGTTCCTCGGTATGGAATCTGCAGGCATTCATGAGACGTCGTATAACTCCATAATGAAGTGCGATATCGACATCCGTAAAGATTTGTACGCAAATACCGTTCTTTCCGGCGGAACTACTATGTATCCGGGCATTGCTGATCGTATGCAGAAAGAAATCACTGCACTTGCTCCAAGGTCCTTATCTTTGCTCGCTAAAGATATTCTCTTCAGACCCTTTTCCTTCTTCTCTTCTTTTCTTTCTTTTTTGAAGTGCTTTTCTGAATGTACATTTTCAGTACAATGAAGATCAAAATTATCGCTCCACCTGAGCGGAAGTACTCCGTATGGATCGGAGGGTCGATCCTCGCTTCTCTGTCAACGTTCCAACAGATGTGGATCTCCAAGCAAGAGTACGATGAGTCTGGCCCGTCGATCGTTCATCGCAAGTGCTTCTGAGCAACATTCGTCAAGAACAGACATTCTAGCCATTGTCTCACATTTTCTCTTCGTATTCATCTCTTTATTCATTTCTTGTTGTCTGTGCTGAGCTGATAAATTTTATATTTCTCATTGTTCGTTTGTAAAATACTTATATCGGAGCAGAAATTGTTAGGAAACTGTCGAAAACTTAGAAGGTCTTCAAAAATTTTTCTTAGGAAACGCGGTTTTAAACTATTTTCAATATCGCAGAGTCTTTCTATTATGTAAACTGAAGTCTCTGTGGTTTTTTATGTATAGATAAATCTTAATATCTTTGTAATCAGGTTGCTATTACAACTGGTGATGGATATAAGCCTACTATGCAGAAGTATATAACTATTCGTATTGTTTGGAGGCTTGGGTGAATCGTCTTCACTGATTGTGCAGGGCCCAGCATAAATCCATTTTTTGGAGTTTTGCTGCTCTAACTCTTGAAGCTCCCTGGAGTTCCGAGGTCAGCGTAGCCACGGTCAGCCCAGGTCGTCACAGACGAAGGCAGTTACCGTCCTAGTGGATGAGGGCGAGATTTACCACCATGCAACTAGTTCGATATGAGGATAGTGATCGGTCCTGATATTGGTGAACTCTTTGCGGGGGTTTCTGGTGGAAGCGCCGCACTCGTTCTCAGTTTGGAAGACCCCGCTGGGGGATGATTCCCCCGTTGTGTATCGCAGCCCGCAGCCCGACACACAGGCACACCTCCCAGTCACGATGAGGCGGTAAACCGTTGGGAGGTATTGGTATTAGCTTCCTTGAACAATAATATGATATTAGATGAGAATCTTTATGGTTTTCAGTTTGGAGGAAGGAATGGGTAAGTAGGTTTAGTGTTCTTAGACGTGTTATAGTGTTGAGAAAAGAGATCTTCAGTTGTACTAGTTGAGGGAATTCCGGATTCGACGTTGGGTTAACGCGCTCCATAGCCAAGTTGTTGTGCAATTTGCATGTGAGTGAGTAATGCAGGGGTCGACCTTTCCCACAGAAAATATGTTGATGAATCATGGAATTCCTTGTCGATATTCTCCATTTCATTGCTGAATCAGCTGACGTTTACTGCTGGAATCATTTCAGTTATGTGTCACTTACCTAAATGACTTTGCGGTCGTTCGTTTTCCATCGAGTTCATGGTCCGGGTCCTATACGTACCACTCCAGTTTCAGGTCTATGTCAGCATTTATTAAGACCATCGGTTACCTGTTAGGTGGTGGAAGTTCCACAGACGACGGTGATGCAACGACTCAGTCATCATGCGTTGATGATGTGTTGTGGTTTGAAATTCTGAAGCGATGTGACGGGTCTTCACTTCTTCGTGCTGAACAGGTATGGAATTGATAGGTTTAAGTGATACAGCCTGTGATTCGTACGATTGTGGCGAGGTACTTATATCGCAGTGGTCGCAGGCGCCCTGTAGTACACATGGGATCGGTCCGCGCGCCAAGACTCATCAATCCCTTCATCTCTTTGGGGTTAGCAAATTGGCATCAGACTGGTCTGGAAGAATAACTACACTTACCCGATACATCAATAGGCCACCGCGAGTCATTGGAAAGACCAGATATGCATTCAGTCACCTCCAACGATGCTTAGTGAAGTGGAGTGCATGGTGCATTCCTCAGGGATCAGGGTTTGATTAACGCCTAGAGCTTCTTTATCCGTTATTTTGTTCCTTTACGATTGCGGTTCTCAAATTGTGGGCGGTGCCAAATTTTGTGGGTTAAACTCGAAGTGAAATCAAATACTTGGGCAGTTTATTCTGTGGATAATATACCATATGTAAGTGATCACTGTTTAGGTTTGTCTTAAGTTGCTAGTGTTAGTTTTTATTTTAGTAACCCCTGTTTTTGCTGTATTGCGGGAGTAACTTATATTTCATAATGTTTTCACAGTGTAATAGCTTGAGCTTTCCATTTCAAATTATTGCCTCACATGCAGTGAAATTAGATATTGATGAGGACAATAAAAAAAATAAAGCTCTCGGCGTCGATCAATCCTTGAGGGATGCGCCATGCATTTGACTTCATCAAGCATCGTCAGAGGCTATTGAATGCACATCTGGTCTTTGCAATGACTCGCGGTGCCCTACCGACGTATCGAGCCAGTGCTGCTATACTCCCAGACAAGTGTGGTACCAGTTTGTCGACCACGGAAGTATGGAACACTTGGAGGGCCCTGAGCACGGGTGTCGATCCAATGTGTATTGCGAGGTGCCTCCGATCACTGGGCTGCGCGCGACCCTGTTCATGAGGAGTTATTTAAATGTCCGTTCGCTTCTCTTACGTCAAGGAACTTCTCGTTACGCTTTGCTCCGTTGGTGTAAGGGAGACTGTGCCAGTTTTCATAAAGACTCATGCTTTTGTTTTTTTTTCATGAAGTTAAGTACGGGAAGCTTGCGAGTTCCACACTGGTAGTTGGTATACTGACGTTGCCTGGTTTCCTCGAAGTGAATCAGCTGGATTTTATGTTTTTGGCTAATGCACAGAATGCTCACAAATATCCATGTATGCTTCGATATGATCATGTACGCACAGAAAGCGTTTGTTTACCAAGCGTAGCAGAGCCAAACAGTCATCTCACTGAACCAACCTCTGTCTCAGGCCGACTCGGTAATCGCTTATGATTCGCTTTGGTTCGTGTTTAATTTGTCCCATCTCCGTATAAGATATATATATATATATATATATATATATATATATATATATATATAGCTTGACGACGCTACCTATTCCTTATTAGTTTCTTCGACATTCATAGCGTGACTGAGAGCTGTGGCGTTTCCTACGTCGTGTTCTATTTCTTTATGTTGTATTCCCGTTACAAAAACTACATGTTTTTTCAGATGTAAGTTTTGGGGTCTCAGATTCTCGGGTCAAACAGAAGTAGAGCCTTAGATTTTTTCGAACCTGGGGTTTTCTGTACAGATTTTATTGCGAATTTCGAAATCTTATACTCTTTGCAGACATGCCAACTTTTCCGCAAAATTCTCGTGTCTTCTCGCTTTTGGATTGAAAAGTGTGAGTACGATGGTATCTGTATACCACCACTTTCTTGGAGAAAGTATTTACGTCGGAAGGAATTGGAGGGTTCGAGTGATCCCGACTCACTGAAAGTACTCCACGTCCTGAACTACAAGAAGGTTTTCTTCCGGCAGCCGTACCAGCGTGACCTAGCACTTGCCTTGCGGAGTTCATCTACTTTGAAGAGTTTGGAGGAGCAAGGAATGGTATTTGAGCATGGCGGTGATGGGTAAGTGATCTGATTTAACAATATTGGAATATAACTAAAATAGCTTAGGGCTGGGTGTTGAAACCTTCGGATTTGTTTTATGTCGAAGTCTTTTGAAAGCTAATTGGTTTTTGTCGTTTTTGATATACATTATTGAAAAATATGTTGCCTTCAAATATACGTACTTAAATGCTTGGATGGGCCGTCTTCACTGGTTGTGTGAGCTCCAACATGATTTCCATGTTTTAGAGTTTTGCTGGTTTAGCTATTGTGGTTCCCTGGAGTCCCAAGGTCAGTCTAGCCAAAGTCTGTCCCAGGTAGTCACCACTTCAGGCAGTCGCCGCCCTGGTGGATTAGAGGGAGATTTGCCACCATGCGACTAGTCTAATATTAGGATGGTGGTGGATCCTGGTATTGGTTTACTCTTAGCTGGGTTTCCTGATGGAAACGCCGGACTCCTCAGCTTGGAAGGCCCAGCTGAGAAGGCGAATGCCTCCGCTATACATCGCAGCCCGACACCCAGGAACACCTCCCATCCACGGTGAAGCGGTAAACTGTTGCGAAGTACTTTCAAATATACTTTCGGGATCTCAATTCCATGGTGATCGTTTTTGATGCTACACGTTTGCCGTTGTTAGAGTTTTGCTGAGTGTTTTTTCTCCTGAGTTTTCTATTTTATCCGTACTGGTTTTAGACTAATAATCGAAAACCCACCTGTCTATTGTGATTCGAGCGAAGTTCGTATCTGTTTCGCAACAAGCTATGATTGGTGTTATAGATATTGCGAGATTGATTTGGAGAAAAGCGGTGTAGAGGTGAGCCAGATCCTTTCATCCGAGGTGAAAGTAGTGCCATATTGCTAAAGTTGGGTAAATTATGGTACTTAGCAGTCTGTTATAGTTTTCGCCTTGTCGGCTTTTACAAAGGAGGATGAAGCTTTCGACGCTGATCCATCCATGGAGGATGCACCATGCATTCGACTCATTAAGCATTGTTGGGGGTGAATGAATGCATATCTGGCCTTTGCAATGACTCCTGGTAGCCCATCGATGTATTAATCCAGTGCTGCTAGCCTCCTATACAAGTTCGGTACCAATTTAACGACCCCGAGAGGTGTAGCCTCGAAGAGGCTGGGGCGCGGGGATCGATCCCATGTGTTGGTTGCAGGGCGCCTGTAACCACTGCGCTACACGGTGGCGTCAGCTTATAGTGTTGGTAATATTTGGATTAGTTTTCAGGCTTGGATTATGGATGAGATACGGCCGAAGATCACCGTCCGTGAACGTTGCTCCTGTAGGCAGGATTGTGGCGCCACTTACGAGCTTCATTTGCAGTTACTTAGAAGGGAAGAACACTTCAATGCAAATGTCCATTTACCACGCTTTCGTACTGTTGTCAGGTCATGGGACCAGTGGGAAGGTATGTTTTCTAGTTAGCTGAGTGAATTTATTCATTCTAGTTTAGTTCTGAACATTCTCTCTTAGGAGGCAGATTGTGGGAGACTGTTGAAGAAGTTTTTATGGACTATCCCATTGGTATGCGTAAGCTGGCTATCATGAGCCGTGGAAAGGATAACCAATTTTGGGCTGGGCACTACGGTTCGAAATTTGGTGCAACAGAAGTGTTGCTCAGTTTTCCGGAAAATCCTCGATTATTATCAGCGGAAGATTTTCCTGATGGAGAAAAAATTGTTACAAATGCAATTCCCACCCGCCATCCTTTACATTCTTTGCGCGTTCCTGTTGCTCTGAGAGGTCGATTTCCAGCTCGCAGACATGTCTAACATCTATTCGGGCTTACTGAAACTAAATTTCTATAAATATGTACATGATGCTGCAATGGTTATGTAAATATCGCTTGTAATTGTGATATATGTTTGTGATTTTTCTGGATAACGTCGAGCTGTTGTTCCACGTTGGTATCTGTCTGCGTATAAAGTGATGTTTTTGTAACCATTTCTATGATGGAGCTCGTGTATTTTGTTGGCTATAGAATTCCCTAGCTCAAGAGGGGTCTGTGTAGTAAAACAGGAAATATACTTCAGCAACTTCTTGAACAGATTAAAAGAAATGCGAGGATTGTGACATATCACAGAACTTCTCTTTATGAATGTCACAACGTGATTTTACAATCCTGTTAATGGTTTACCGCCTCATCGTCGCTGGGAGCTGTCCCTGGGTGTCGGGCTGCGAAGTACAACGCCGGATTCGTGCCTCCAGCAGGCTCTCTCAAGCTGGGAAGGAGTCCGGCATTTCCATCAGGAAGCCCTGACTAAGAGTAAATCATTATCAGGATCCACCACCGTCCTAGTACCAAACTAGTCGCATGGTAGCAAATCTCTCTCTAATCTATAACGGCGGGCGGAGACCGCTCATGGTGGCGACGACCGGGGCAGACTTTGGCATGGTTGACCTCGGGACTCCTGGGAACCACAGTGACTAAGCCATCAAAATTCCGAAAAAATAGAAATTATGCTGTGGGTCGCATAACCAGTGAGGATGGGCCATCCAAGTATTTAAGTAACTAGGATTTTACAATAATTAACCAATGTCTAAGCTACTATCTTTCTAAAGTTTACTTGTTGCTAGCCTTTTACCATATAATGCATCTTCTAACAGTTAATTGCCACCTTTCTTAGGCTGTATGAGAGGATGAGTGCGATGGAATGATTGGAGGAGCGCGGCGATCCACGCTGGACTAGTCGCTGGTTGATCACGAGCCCTAGGCCCACCAACCCGTCCGTCCCTTCGGGGTCCGTAAATTGGTACCGGACTTGTATGTGGAAAACCAGTACCAGATTTTTTTTTGGGAGGATAGCAGCACTGGCTCGATGCATCGGTAAGCCACCGCAAGTCATTGTAAAGGTCGGATATGCATTGAATCACCTCTGCTTGGTCAAGTCGAATGCGTAGCATAATCCTCAACGACAAACGCCTTATTCTCCATTGTTTTTCTCCACCATTATTTCAGCAATCCCTGTGGAAGCAACAAGGAGACCTGGAAAGCGCTTCCGAACTGAAAGCGAGTATCACAGCTATGAACGTTAATCACGAGAAGGTCGTGGACACTTAACAGCAGTTGATAACGACCATCCAAATGCGATAGTTGAAGCTCAACTTCTCACTATGTTGCAGAACAACAGAATTTTAGTCATTCAGTAGTCTTTTTTGTCAATAGGAAGAATCGGAAGGATGAGAAAGACAAATGTTTGCCACGTGAAATAATTAAGAAGCATAGAATTCGCCGTCATGAAGTCCGTTTCTGGTTAGCATTAAATCAAAAGCTACAGCGTCACTGGCTTGACGTTACACAAGTAATGCTGTAGATGAGAGGATATGTGGTAAAACTTCCGGCAGCGATCAATTGCTGAGGAACGACTCACGCATTCGACTCCATTCGTAGCATCGTTAGACATGACTAAATGCATATTTGACCTATACAGTGACTCGCAGTGGCCTATCGACGTATCAAGTCAGTGCTGCCATGGCCAAGACAAGTTTTATACTAATTTGGCGATCCCGGAGGAATTGGGTGATTGGTGAGCCCTGCAGCGCGTAATTGAACCAGCGACCATATATGTATTGCAGGGAGCTCTAACCTTTGCGCTACATTCACCAACGCTGCATAATTTGAATGAATTTGGCTACCAGAATCCTCGATATACGCACTAGGACCCTATATTTCCCTCTTGCAGACCTTCAAACTCTGTAGCAGCAGAATCCTGTAGAACCTGCATCCTGTGAAGAACGGTCAGTGCGTACTAATTTGTGTACAGTACACTATTGCCGGAAAATTATGGTCCTTGCTGAAAGTTAGACATTAGGTACGGCAAATGTGTTCATAAAGTGTCGTTCCAACAGAGCCAATCATTTAAAAATTACCGTTCAGAACCTTGCATTATTTTTAGATTTGCATAATTAGAATAAGAAGATGCATCATCCATAGCAATCCAGTTCAGCTGTATTTAGAGCTTCAAGCCTCCCTTGAAGCATTCCTGGTAATACTTTAGTCATGAAAGGCTGGAGATATCTTAAATGTCACAGCTCTTTAGTTTAGACGTTCTTTCTCAGTATGTTCGAAGATCTGTTATGTAATAGTGCTCCACAAAAAGGGTAAAAAGGATAAAGCTCTCGGCGTCGATCAATCCCTGAAGGATGCACCACTATGCATTTGACTTCATTAGGCACCGTTGGAGATGACTAAATCTATATCTGGCCTTTACAATGACTCGCGGTAGCCTACCGATGTATCGAACCAGTGCTGCTATTCTTCCAGTCAAGTGTGGTACCAATTTGCCGTTCCCGGAGGCACGGAGGCCATGGAGAATCTGGGGCACGAGGATCGATCCCATGTGTATTGCTGGCCGCCTCCGATCATTGCGCTACACACACCCCTTTTGTGCTCCACCACTGCTAATAAAACAATTTGTTTACTCACAAATAACTTTGTAAGAAAATAAATCTGCTCAAAGTTCCTCATGAAGCCCGTCAGTGCCCATCAGATAGCCTTTGCGCTATATAAATTAGACGTTGATTTAGGGATGTTGTCCGTAATACGCTCCGCCCGTAATCTTGCGTTAGTGATTCCACCGTATCGCCTCCTTATTTCATTAAGGTGTTTATCCTTATGTTCCTTACGGTTTTAGTGTCGTAATGCATTTTTATCTTTCCGTTATTAGCTCATGTCTTGCCAATCGATATTTTCGCCGCAAATTGACTTTTTTTGTTGATATTTTGACAATGGTTTAGTCTACGGCATGTCGCTAGTGGATCTGTCAAGGCGCACCTTTTTCTCGTTTCGGGAGAAAAGTGCGATCGATACTATTTTAAGTTTGGATCCGAAATCCTACTATTGTACTGTTAATGGCGAACTGGTGCAGAATTTCCACCAAAGAGTTGGCCACTTCACCAACGACGATTTGTTTCAGCTACATTTCCGATTACATGGAGGGAAAGGAGGTTAGTGATAATCTTGGACTGCGTTGTACTTCTATGTAGGCTACTGGTTTTTGATGGTTTCTAACACTTATGGTGTTTTTCTAGGCTTCGGTTCTCTTCTACGATCATTTCGTGTCAATAAAAGCACAAATCAGTTGATGTGCCGCGATTTAAATGGTCGTAGGTTGGCGTCCATAGAAGAAGAACAGAAACTACGAAGGTGGATTGAGAGAGCTGCTGAACGTGAGAAGGAGAAACTGGAGAGAAGGCACAGTTTTGTTTCTTGGTGTTAAATTTTCCATATGTGTTTGTTTCTTCGTTGTTTTAACGAGTGTAACTTTATCTAGAAATGCCAAATATGAGAAGCTGAAGTCTGGACCACCTAAGCACATGTTTCACGATCCCGACTACATCCGTCAAAAAGAGTCAATCATAGAAAAAACGGAAGAAGCATTCGAACAAGGTTGTTTTGAGATCTTGTGTTAACCATAGAACACCATCATTTTTTTTCCACTGAAAATTGGGTTTCTAATCACCTAGTTTGGAAGTTGGTCATCATTTAATATTTTGCTTTCAGGTTTCATGGAATTGACAAAGGCAAAGTCTACAAAAACACAATCTTCCGCTGAGTCTTCTTCGGACTCTGATTTCGACATTGATGACTTACCAGGGAGTTTAAAGGCTGGGACTAAGAGAAAAGCTGGTGCAACGGTATCATCAGTAAAAGAGAAAAAGCAGAGGTTGTAAGTCCTTGTTACTTCTTTGAACTAGTTACGTGCTCTATCACAGTTCGAATGTGGAAACCTGGACAGGATTTCATCTTTTCCTACTGTTTTCAAAATTCAGGGAAAGCGACTCCGATTCAGATTTTGACGAAGATGATGATATTGACCCTGACCTTGTTAACGAAATTCGAGAGTATTTCTCTAGTAAGCCACAGGAAATCGCAGCTGCCAACGGTGGTGTTCTTTGTGGATCGAAAATTAAAGCTGGACGTTCAGTGAGTCACGAAAATCAAGTAAGCATATGCAATCTTTTAAGTAATTTGAATATGAGGTGGTACTGTGTGGCAGATGTAACTGGTCTAACCATTATGAATAAGTCAACGCTTCCAACGGCTCACCGTCCTGTCGTGGTTGGGAGGCGTTCTTCGGGCCTCGGTGTTGGGCTGCGATGTACAAGAAGGGAGAAGGATTCATTCCCCGGCAGAACCTCCCACGCTGAGGAGTCCGGCGTTCCCATCAGGAAGCCTAGCTAAGAGTAAACCAATACCAGGATCGTCCACCGTCCTGGTATTAAAGTTGCATGGTGGCAAATCTCTCCCTGATCTACAAGAGCTGCAACTGCCTGTAGTGGTGAAGACCTGGGGCAGTTTGCCCAGGCTGACTTCGGAATTCCAGGGAACCGCAATGGCTTAGCCAGCAAATCTCCAAAAAATGGAGATTATGCTCTGGGGCCCGCACAAGCAGTGACGACAGGCCATTCAAGTATCAGATATCAAGTATTGGATGGTTTTTGTGTGAGATTTGTCGAATTGTTCCTATTACAGTGTTATAAATCCGGTGAAAGACTCTTTAAATAGTGAGGTTTTTCCTTCTCACTGTTGATTCTTGTTGCGATGAATGCATTCCTTTTTCAGTTTCTGGAATCAAATGCAGCGTGACAGTGAGTGAGGGAGGTGCACGCTATTTTATTGTATTATATTAAGGAGCTGTATAGAAATTGTGCTTTGAAGTAACAAGCAAAAATTGTCATTTATTTCTTTATTAATGTGCTTCGTAATATCTCTGGTTCACATGAAAATATTGTTTTCTTCCATTTGTTCTTAACAGTGTGTGGTCGAATTCCATCTCTATCCAGTTGTTCTAAAACTACATTCTAGTGATTACTCATTGTATTATGAAAAATAATGAAGTTAAGAAGTTATGGCTAAAGTAGCAATGCCAAAATCGAAGAAACGAACGATAAGAAAACGAAAGTTGTGTGTAAGTTTTCATGTTTTCTAGCAGGTTTTTGGTTCCCGTCAATGGTGTATTTCATTTATCTCTAGACAACCGATGAGCTTTTATGTGAGAAAAAAGCACTGGGATGCATGTCAAACGGTTCTGAAGATAAGACTGTCGTGGAAGAGGAGAAAATATCTACAATAGAAGAGGAAAAGTCATCATCTGTAATTCGAAAAGATGTCGGGGAAAAGATAGAGTACATAAACGTTCAGGTGAGGCGGAGTTCATTCCTAACCATTTTGATGTTTTATTTTTTAATACTACTTGTACTGTTGTCCTTTCATTTGCTGCTTGCTATAATTTTTGATGGCAGGGTATCATGTGAATTACAACCGCAACGATACTGAAATATTCGCAAAACTTGGACTCTGGGCCAAATCGAACCACAATTTTCTTTTCAGCGTGCTCACGCATTACATAGTGCACCACAGAGGCCCTTGCTCTGCTGTTCAACTAGTTTTCTACCTAATGCTGCCACGCCTAGCTACTTATACTAACTGTAGCAATACTTCAAGACTTAAGACTGTCCGTCAGGCCATTTCACTCTTTCATTTCCATCCGCTATTGGGACTTACCACTAGGTGTATGACAGCATATATAAAGCAAACCTTACGAAAAAAAACGGGACACTTGGTGAACACGTCTGGTGCTGTTGTTGACAACCTTTTTCTATTGTACGTGGAGTACAAAGTGTTGGAAGGCATTCACTATACAGACCCTGGTGGAGCACTGATCATCTTCGGAGAAAAGACACGGCTAAGAAGCGCTTATGTTCCCAGTTTTACTGTGCACATCTTTGTCATCATTTAGCAAATTCCAGGATCCATTTGCTCTTAACCTCTACACTGATCAATAGTGCATTATCTTCTTGGTAAGCGTTGAAGCGAAGCTGTTCACAGTGCTAACAAACGTTACTGTATTAACTGCCACGACCGACTTTCTATTAACCTCGGCATTGATCAAGTGATTTTGTTCGTATTTTTTTGAGCAAACGCGAGGTGTTATTGTTCTTTGTTCACGATTAAGCTGACGTTTCGGCGAATTTCGCCTTCTTCAGAGCCTGGAAAGGTCAAGTTGATAGCAACTCACTCGGCCAGACGCCTCCATAACCAAACAAAGAAAC